ACACACACACACACACACACACACAAGATACAATAATTAGGTACCAAACACTTTGTATCACTATTAAGATTAGCTACTAAATATTTTTTTATTATTCAAACTTAAGAATCTGTCTTAATTTTAATTGAGATAAATTAAACTTCTTCAACAATATTATATTAATAATGTATAAAAGTATACTAATTGTAAAATAATCCTTTTTTGTAACTTCATAAATTTCTAATTTAAAATACGTATATCATGGTATATATAGTGTGCAATTTAGTAAATAAGATCGCATTCAAAACTTCAAAAATTATGGGAAATAATTATTTGTTCTTGTTTTAGTTTTCATTTTTAATTGAAAAGAGCTATTGTCTTTATTATTCAAAAAGTTCGCAATATGAAGCCACTCATTTCGACTTACGCGACAAAATCCATTGTGTATTCTTTAGTCCAACTACCATCGAATACGATCAATGCTTCTACTTGTGGATAATGCTTTCCGTTTCGACAAAGTAGTTCTGTCAAAAGGTAATCGTTTGCGTAAACTGAAAATTTGGTAACCACGTGATCAACCAATCGTTTAAGAGCTTCCGCAGTTTTAAATACAACATCGTTATGATAGGCCAAAAGATGAGATGCAGCGTACGTCTGTTATAAGTAAAATGTAATAATAATGTAGTTTATATTTTGATCTATTAGCGCGGCATTTATATAAGATTAAAATATACAAATACGAAAAGAGAAACACCTGTTCGTCCAAAAGTGTTTTTGACACAGCGTATGAAAAAGCCTTCTTTCTATCACATACTTTGATGTTTTCATTAAAGAAAGTTATACCTTCGTCAGAGTAATACATATCAAGAATTTGACTCAAACGAAGACTGTAAAAATCGTTCACCCAGGTGTGCATCTTATTTGCTATAATAAGGCCTGTAAATCCAATCAAATTGGAAAGGAAGTAAATCGCACTTGTAATATACCGTACATATATATATTTTTTTTAATAAAAGGAAACGATATATTTTTGTATGCACAGAGATATTTACCATCGATATCACTGACTATCTCAGCACGGGTGGCATCAAAGTAACCGTTTTTATTTTTTAAGTAATAAACACTGGGACGCATAGTGTTATTCCAAAATCCAGCAGCTCCAAGTTCCATATCAACATCTAATATAGGTCCCTGATATACTACCATTTCCGCTAATTCACCTGAAAAGCATTATCCCATTCTAAAAATTTTAATTTTAAGATCAAACAAGATCTAAAACAATAAATGACATTTGCATTTAAGATTTTTCACCTGCAATCGTTGCTAGCCATACGTTGTCTAATTTTATACTTGGCTCAATTGAAGAAAGGTACGGCATTGATCTATCGTGAATCATTTCATTTCTTGGTACAATAAAGTCAATATCTTCAATATGAGTCACGCTAGCTACAGTGGTATGTCTTTCTAAAAGGAAAAGATAAAACATTTTGTTTATATATATATTACTTAAGGGAGAAGACCACTCTAGAATTTTCAAAAATTCGATTTTTTTTTTCGCTTAAAAGGTGCCTAATTAGGGTCTTAAAAATAAGATACATCATTTATAAATTTTTTTATAAAAATCAAAAACAAAATGGCGGCTGTGAAGGTGATTGACTGAACGCCCGCCATAAATGTAGGGTTCCGCGGCCGGAAAAGTTTCTCCTCCAATTTTGACTCTGGAACAAAAATTCAAAATTTTTTTAATTTTACATATCAAAAGCTCGAGAAAGACGTAGGAATTTTTTTTTATGTTGCATATTTCATTTGTTATAAACAATTAGTGCATATTTTTTAGGCGAAAAAAACGATTTTTTTTTTCAAATGTCCACTATTTTTGCAAAAAGTGATATTAAAAAAAATTCCTACGTCTTTCTCGAGCTTTTGGTATGTAAAATTTAAAAAATTTTGAATTTTTGTTCCAGAGTCAAAATTGGAGGAGAAACTTTTCCGGCCGCGGAGCCCTACATTTATGGCGGGCGTTCAGTCAACCACCTGCACAGCTGCCATTTTGTTTTCGATCGCCATAAAAAAATTTATATAAACACTTTAATGTATAGGCAATAAAGACCTCTAAACATAATTTTCATTTTTTTCGTTGTTTTCCCTGAAAAAAATCATGAAATTAGGTTATTTTTCGACGCTCTAGAGTGGTCTTCCCCCTTAACAAAAAATATAAGGATTGTTTTAATTTTAAACGCTCAAAACTGCTCAATTTTCAACTCACTAAAAATCAGCAAAATTTATCGTAGGCAAAAAATAGAAAAAGCATTTTGAAATATAAAATATATTTTTTACATGCTTTCGGATGGTTTTAAAAATTTTGTATTTTTACGGTTCTGTGTCCTATAAAAGAATACATTATTTTGTTTCTTAAAATTACATATTTTCTCAGTACTCTTAATAAGTTGCTGCAAATCTAGAAAATTATAAAAACCGGAAAAATCAGGGAATTAAAAAATGGTTAAGAAAAACTGGGGAAAAATCCTTGACTTAAAAGAGAAGGGCCGATTTTAGCACCCTTCAAATTTTGTTCAAACTCACGAAAATCTATAATATATTTTGAGGTCAATTACATTCCATTCGAGTGATTCCAACTTAAACGGAGCGATGGAGTTGCCATCCCGGGAAAAAAAGTTTCATATATAATTATATATAATTGTATGCAAAATATGTCCATATATGTTTCTTTCTTTTGTAAAATTATTCTTTAACAAAATTGATAATAATAAGAAGGAAACATGAAAAATAATTAAAAGAATAATTTTTACATTGGTTTCTTTTACAAAAAATAAAGTTTAAAGAAATGAGAACAATTGCTCATATATAATCATATATAA